AAAATTTATCAATTACATACTTAAAAGTTAAATGTTGAGTGCTGCTTACGTCTGTGGAAGGATTGGGTGTGATTCGTGGCTTGCAATTTCAAGTACTGGTCATGAACATGCTCAATCAAAACGACTAGTAACATTTTCAAGTCTACCATCTTGTGCATTCTAAACGGATTCCGTGTTTTTTCGTTTTGTTTTGTTTTTGTTTCTCTATTTAATATCAGTATACATTTTCTCCCATGATATCCAAGTTGAAACATTAAAGTATGACCGCTATATCACATCTGAATATTGACAATAAGATATTCATATGAAAAAAAAAGTAAAATTGTTTAATGAACATGTCGTCAACTGGCAATGGCTATATACAATATATTGCGGTAATTGTAAAGCCTTTTATGCGGACTATTTTTCCATTCCATCAAAATTGTAAAAAAGCTATTGGCGAAACTAATTATTATAGAATATTTAGAGTGGGAATTAGTATCAAATTTCATATACAAGGATAGCAATATCCAACTTTAGATAAAGTATTCCAATTTTCTTCTCTGCTACGTCAATAACGGACAAAGGACTGTTTATTAACATACTTGTCTATAAGTGTTGACTATATTGATTTTGAAGACACGTTTATAATTTATCTGAAAATTTAAATTCCTTTCTTTGTCTGTATGCCATCTGTATAAAAAAAAACGTTCCTAAATAATTCTACCCTTGGGTTTAAATTAATTTATTTTTATTTGAACGTGTGTATACTTGCATTCTAAACGTAATATAAAGAGTTCAAATATGGGTTATAGTATTTTTTTTATTACAGTTAAGATATAAAATATATAATGCATGTAGTATTTTTCTATAGCCATTATCATTTAAACATGAAATAGTTCTTCAAATGAACTTGACTTCAATTGGTTTATTTACATATATGTTGGGAGATTTATGTTTTTACGAACACATCTAGCTTTCTATCAACTTGCAATTTTTAGTATCCCTGAGGGTAATTAAACGCCCACTTTTGTCTAATACGTTTGTTTTGTACATCATTAAATTGACTGAAGATCAATTGATATAGATTGTTGACCCGAATAAAAAAATCGGACCGAATTCTTTTTGCTTGAATGTTGTACTTTCATCATACCCGCGTAAGTTTTTTCGGTTTACTTTTGTTATCTTTTTTATTTATGCCATGAGTGAGTGAGTGAGTGAATGAATGAGTGAGTGAGTGAGTGAGTGAGTGAATGAGTGAGTGAGTGAGTGAGTGAGTGAGTGAGTGAGTTTAATACTATATTAAGATGACACAAAGAAATTAATTTAATAATAATTTTATTGTTTAAGCTTTCAATTTTACCACCAGTCTCTGCGCCCCCATCCTCTTTCTTTTTGCTTCTCTTTCTATCTTCATCTTCTGTCCTTGTCTTTTGACTGAGTTTCGAACACCTCTATTTCCTCCCAATCACCTTTATTCTGTTTCTATCCCTGCCTCACCCTCACCAACCACTATTTCTTTATTCTCACAATAGGAGAAATGAACATATAAATATTTCCTCTATTAAATATAATATCAGATATATGTATGTTTTGTATGCTTTAACAGCTTACATGACAGAAGTTTTCTAAGAAATCAATTTACATTCCTATGATCAATTGATTTCAACTAGACTGTTAAACGCGTTTCCCAATATCATCCCGCCATAGCGGACACGGACACTGTCACGTTGCTTGTTATCCAATATCACACTGTATGCGTGCTGCTTAATTAAAGAATAATATAGAGTAACATGTAAAAAAAACCAAAAACATTTACATATAAATACATGTATTTGTGATCAATGATAATTGTATACATATATAATAAAAAGTAAACACAAACAACTTATTTTCAGTGTTGTTATATATTGTTTTTTTTATCTAAGACAACTTTAAGCGTAATTTTACCAATTTACCATTTTGTCACATTTTCAATAATAACATATTTCTCCAGCAAGCGTGTTTATTTCGACAAAGGCTTAAGTGAAATCAAAGAAAAAAAGTCACATTACACTAAAGCTAAAATAAACAGGCCGAAAATAAATATAATGAACAACATGGTTTAAATAGTCTTCGGATTGTTGGACCAATCTCATGTGTCGGTTTATTATTTTAGATCGGCCAAAACAATTAGATTTTTCATAACATACGGTTAATATATTGAAAAACAGTGTCCGATTTTTTTAAAGCTTTTGATGAATAAATATCAGTTATAGTAACAACTTGGGTTTTTCATTAAATTTTGGACACTATGACGTTAAAAATATGAAGAGATACTTGTTTCTTGTGTGTCGACTTTGGTATAATATTGTCTCAAATGTATTTATGAAAAAAGCCAATGAAGCGCATAAACATTCTTCAGTTGGCACTCTAGTTTATCATTTCATTTTGTTTGATTAAATCCTGTTCTTCAAGTGTCTGAGCAATAAACCTTAGGAAACAAATCTGGTAAAAATTCTCTTCAGAAAAGTAAAGTCCAAAACAAGTCCAGATAAGTTCATCACATTTTCATATGGGACAGGTTACAATTGTGTAAATTGTTTAAATCTTACAATTCATAATGAATATTGCATCGGTGCTAGTCAGCCAGGACAGGACTACATACGTAATTTCATTCTTTGATGTTGACATTTTAAAGTACATGTATGGCATTTGACTGACAAGGAAATTTGCGTTAATTATTCAATTTAAACAAGTTTTTCATATTTTAATGATCTTGAATACAATAACCTTATAAAATAAATCAAGGATCTGTCTAGCTGTCAGAAAAAAAAAACAACAACTTAAAATAGGAAATAAATCATGAATGCCATTATCTTTTGCCAGAATTATTGGGTTAGGACAAGGGTTACCCTTACCATTACAGTTAAGTGCATGGCGTAATTACCCCGAACGCACGAGATCAATAAAAAATGACAGACTGATTAATTAATCAATTAATTAATTAATTAATTAATTCATTCATTCATTCATTCATTCATTCATTCATTCACTCATTCATTCATTCACTCATTTATTCTTTCATACATTTTTCCTTCTTTCATTCAATAAAAGAGTAGATATTTTATGGATTATGATTAGTTTGATTTATGCTGTTGTGTTATCTGTTGTGCTCAATTTCAAATTGTTTGAAGCATGAAAATATAAACATCCAATCTTAAAAAGCTAAAATATTAAGAGAAAAATACCGAAAGAAAGTATTTACGTGAATTCTTTGGTAGTTATAATACAATTGTCATTTCAATATCTATTTAAGGGCAAATGTCGTCTCTGGTATTCGCTGTGTATTGAATAATGTTAGTTATGTCTATAAATCATACGAGATTACAAGTTTAACGTCTTTTATGTCATACAAAGTAAAGAAAAAGTAAACAATAGAGTAACGGGTAAAGTATCACGCTATGATATCGCATGACAGTACAGATAAAATACTTGCCAAACGACTCAATAAACAGAACCAAACACACGTCATGAATTAAATCTTTTATCAGTTTAAAGTGACTACTAGTAATTCAATGCTAATCATTACAAAGGAAAAGCATAATATGATGAATTTTGAACGAGTGCAAAAACGTTTGATTAAATAAAACCATGGATTGTTAAGATGAGAAAAAAAAAAAATTAAATCATTTTTGCTGTGTTTCTATGGTTTGACTCTGTTTAAGTTTAACATTAAATTATCAACATGTTTTTGACACAGCTCAGTTAACACACCCTCTAGTAGGGAACTGTCCAAGAAGGCAAAGCATATTCCTCCCATATCTTGACTGAAGATTGACTTCTAAACACAAATATAGGAAAACAGAATGGTACTTTCCGTTTTATAAATATGGCTAGTACAAACTACGTTAGCGCTAAATGACACAAGTTATTTAGAAGAACAACTGTGACATGTTTGATTATTAGTATATTATAAAAAAATATTGCGTAAAATTTGAAGTTTATATTTGTAGAAAAAAGAGATACAGCGTCGGTGTACGAAAATTTGACAATAAATAGTTGTACAAATATTGTACGTTGCGTGCTATGTGCGTGAGTCGCAAAACTAATAAATTAACTGGAAACTCAAATAGTGATTGAAAACAAAACGGAGGATAAAAAGAACATTGATGACAGCGTTATGTAACTCTTTCTTGAAAGGACTGTGTAGAAAGTTTCATTTTGATTGGCGATTTGTTCAATGAGGTGACTGTTAGGGAAACAAATATATTGTGCATCTCCTTTCTAACCGTTGCAAAAGTTGCAAAAGTTATGAAGGCTTATAACGTCTGATACTCTTTTAAAATTTCGATTTTTAGTTATCATTATTTTCATGCTGAAGGCTCTAATATCACAGCCGTATACCCACATCTTTGGATGCTCTAATTGCAAAGTTTTACCATTTAATGTTTAATTTTGATGGATTCGGTGCTAGGGGATATAGACAGTAGCTTAACTACCTTTGAACACCAGTGTTCAAGTTTACTGTAATGTATATTCGGTAAGGTTGTGTATTTTACCATTCTATTGCAATATCCCGATATGGTTTTGAACTTTTAGTTCTTCATTTAATGTCTATTTTATATTCCCCTATATTTATCAATAAATACTTACAAAGCGGAAAACTTATTCAATTAATTCAATGATATTTTGGTAGATAAAGGTCACGTGATATCATTATCAATAAGTCGTAGTTAAATCGTCTGCTATAGTGCGTGGTTAAGCATATGTACGTTGGTAACATAAAAACATGTGAATACACTCTTCGAATAGCTTTAACAATCCAAACAGAAACATGACATTCCCCGTCCAATAACTTTTTTTTTTGCTTATGCATTTATACATTATTTCTATAAATAGACCATGAGTTGTTCAATTTTCATTGGCTATCATGCAAGGTGTTTTTCCAACCGGAGCGCATATATTATAGCGTTGTCAAGCAAGGGAGGCAATAAATTGAACTTAATTTTTTAGGAGAATATTGTTATAAGTTACACTGAAATTTCATTTACAAATTTGAAAATATATTTTTTTTGAAAATGAACATTGTGCACAATTTCTATACCACTTGATTAAAAAAATGTAAATGGATTAAAGAAGATACTTAATCGTAAGTTATACATACATATATACATATATACGTCTATCATTTATTGTTTCTGTATCAGTTACCTCATCTAGTATTTTTGTACTGTATTTTCTCCTTTTTTGAACAGACATCATCTTTTCTTCATGGAATAAATAACAGATGTCATGTTTTTGTTTGGTTTTCTTAACAAAAGTGTGTCATTGGGATATTCAGAGTCACTTTAGGTTACCAAAGGTAAACATATCACAGCACAACATTTTCGGCTCAGTGCCAATAAACTTGAGCAAGCGTTGATGGGATAGAAAATTTGTGTCCATTTGCTGTTTTATTGAGGATCTCTGTGTGTTCTCCAAACGGTATATCAAATAAAACACTTTTTGTTAAAACTATCCATAAATTATAATAATGAAAAATTAGCTTTTGAAGGTGAATACTAAAAAACACAACCGCGGCTTTGTTGCCGGAACTATGAACCTATTAGTATTTGTTGTTATCTAGAGGGACGGGGATCATTTCTTTATAAATATAAAAGCCACTTTGTTTTGTTTATGTATTCATTTTAATCAATACACGCTAGCAGACGATAATTTACAAAATAATGCCGAACTCAACCTTACAAACCAATTACAGAAATCATAACGCATATAAACAATAGAGGCCTTTATCCCTTTAATCTTATGAACATCTCAACGGGTGCAAACATGAAACTGTTTAATATTCAATTATAATACATGTAGTATATTTTTTTTGAAAGGCTCGTAAAAATATTCAGTGCATATAGGTTTAACTGAGCAAGGTAAAGCGAAACTGTACTTATAATTTTAGCCCGATATCTATTCAAAGAGCTTTATGAACACATCTGCAGTTGTTTCATTTAACTCAAAATTTATCAATTACATATTCAAATGTTGTGTTCTGCTTACGCCTGTGCAAGGATGGGGGCGTTATTCGTAGCTTGCAATTATGAACAGGCTCAATCAAACTGATATGTAACATTTTCAAGTTTGCCATCTTGTGCATTCTAAACGATTCCGTATTTTTTCTCTATTACTTTCTCCCAATGCTATCCAAATTGAGACAGTCAAAGAGTGACTGTTATATCACATCTCAATATTAACAATAAAATATTAATATGTAAAAAAGTAAATGTGTTTATTGTAAAGTAAAGATCGTCAAATAGCAATTACTACATACAATATTGTGCTGTAATTGTGAAGCCTTTTATGCTAGGACTATTATGCCATTCTATCAAAATCGGAATAAGCTATTGGCGGAACTAATTATAAAAGTCAGAGTATTTAGAAGAGGGGGGCGGGGGTGGTAATTAATATTAAATTTTATATACAAGGATAGTAATATCCAACAGTAGATAAAGTATTACAATTTTCGTCTCTGCTACGTCAATTATGGACAAAGGACTGCATATTAACATACAATACATGCATTTACAAATAAATATTGACTATATTGATTTTGAAGACACGTTTGTTACATATCTGAATATTTTGAATTCCTTTCTTTGTTTGTATTCCATCTAAAGTGTTGCTATTCAGTAGACGTGCTTCTTAATATGAGAATAAAGTACGATAACCTTCAAAAACTAAAAGCATCCACATATAAATATTTTGAAAAAATGATCATTGTATGCATGCATCATATAATAGTTGCCACAAAGATACTTTCAGTGTTGTAACGTTTAATTTCCACGACGACTACAGTACTTTTATTCACAATATAATTTACATCGAATGTAGTAGATGTCTTTGCTCTGAATGTAAAATTGAATTTTGTCAAAACCGCACAAGACAAATAAAAAGTCATATTACATTAAAGCTAAAATGATCAGACCAAAAATAAATACATATAATGAACAACATCGTTTAAATAGTCTTCGGATCGTTGGACCAATCTCATGTGTCGGTTATAATTTTAGATCGGCCAAAATAATTAAAATTATTCATAAGATATGGTTAATATATTGAAAACACAGTGTCCGATTACATTTAGCTTTTTATACATGAATAAATATCAGTTGTAGTAACGACTTGTGTTCAATTAAACTTTGGACACTTTAATAGCCCTTATATATATGAAGGGATACATGTTTCTTGTGGATGTCGCTTTTGGCACAATAATTTCTTAAATGTATTATGAAAAAAGTCAATAAAGCGCATCCATTAACAATCTTCAGTTAGCACTCTAATTTATAATTTCATTTTGTTGGATTAAATCCTGTTCTTCAAGTGTCTGAGCAATAAACGTTTAGAAACAAATCTGGGATATTCTCTTCAGAACAATTCCAGTACAAGTCCAGTTAAAATTCTGGAAATAAAGTAATCCCTCGGAAGCATTAATCACAACAAAATTACAAGAGAATTGCAGGCTCGGTTTGACTGAGTCTGTACATGAGGGATAATGTAAAGTGCAACATTTCACAGTCACACATTTGCATAACTGGGTCAGGTTATAATAGTGTAAATTTATGTTTAAATATTACATTCATGATTAATTAGTAGCAAATTGCATCATATTTTAATGTTCTTTAATACAATAAGCAAATAAAATAAGTCGAGGAGATGTCTTGAATGTCATTATCTTTTAACATAATTATTGGGTTAGGGCAATGGTTACCGTTACCCTTACCATTACTGTTTAGGGCATGACGTAAGTACCCCGAACGCACGAGATCAATAAAAATGACAGACTGATGTTCCCGTTGTGTCATCATATGCCAACTTTAAAGAGTTAACGTTATTTTAAGAAGACTTGAAAGTATTTTGCTTAATTCTGTTAGTACTTTTATATACCGGAAACATGGCTGTTTTCAAATGATGTTAATATAAGCATTAAACAATTTCATGATGAAAGTTATATCAGGAACATTTAAAGTAATACTATATAAATCTAAAACTGTAAAAGTAGTTCAATACTATAACATTATTTACCAAGCTATATTTGATGATTTAGTTTGTTGTTATACGATTTACTGGGAAAGTTTGTTTTAGTAAAAATCGACTCAAGGCCTCATATAATAGCATATTCATTTTAAATAAAAAGTCAAAAATCAGTCAAACCACATCTAAAAACTGTTAGCATTATTGCGCTGCACTCCCATTGCATTATTGCCAATAACATTTCTGTACTTATGTCATATTAATGTCGTAATTTTATAATCGGAGGAATAAATGAATTTTTTATTCTGCGAAATTTGAACACGTAGTAAATTGCTCGGATTGAAGCCAGTTTTTCGTAGTTTTTTAAAGAACAGTCGGAAAAAATGCTTTAGATATTTATGGATTATGAGTCGTTTGATTTACATGTATGCTATGATTGTTGAAATACCGTAATTAATATTCTTAATGGTAAACCAATCAGTCAATTTGCATTTTAAAAACGTTTATCATTTATCTATTGTGCTCAATTTCTTAACTAATGATTTCCCGATGTGTGTTTTATCATATGAATCAATTTAATCAGAGTTCATTATTGTTTGAACATATTTGATATAAAAAAATAATGTAACACGTAAAATGTCAGTGTAATTGTGATATGGAAATCAAATATTTTGCTTTAATCCATTTTTTCTATTAAATACATAACATGAGGCTTCTTTTTTTTAAACTCTTTAAATCTCACGATCCAACCTGTATGTTTTTAGTTACGCCAATTGAATATGATTTCTTTAGATATCATTCATGTCAATAGACCGTTGTGTATTGAATATCTGCGGTTCTCTACGTGGGGTATAATTGCCAAAGAATAAAAAAATCGTGCCCTTCATTTTTAAAGATAAAGTCCAAATAACGTTTTTATAAGCACTTTGTAAATTTAAACATTCGTGTTGCAAAATAATAATTGCAAAACAAGTTTCCAGCTACTTTCTGTATTAAGCTTATCGTTTTTTATGACATAAGATCCGTTTTTGTTTTGCTCAAATTAAAAACCGACTTAATAAACAATTTGTAGCGAAACAAAGCAGAAACAGAATATTTGCATTTAATCATACGTGATATCTATGTACAGAATATGAATATAAGCATATGCCGGGAAAGTGGACATTGATTTGTCATCCAAAATTATTCAAAAGAAGCAATTCTGTAACAATTGTATAGTCTGAATCAGAAGTAGTGTATAACCATACTATTTATAATATACTATACTAATTGTAGTAAACAAAACAGAAATATGATATATGCATTAAAGTTTTCGCTTGTGAGTTAGTCTAGATAGAAATGTCCAGAGGTGTTTGAAATTCATTGGAGTAAAATACATCGACTCCTTGGCAGTTAAACTGATATTAAATAAGTAATTTATACCAAACAGTAAAATAGAAGAATCAATCGAATCAAATAAGATATAAAGTTATAGACATTCCCTTATCAAGACTCAAAGATCTTTTTGTTATACCGATATGTTCATATTAATTGCGTTATGTTATTCAAAACAATATTGTAAGGCTAATGTTTACCTTTGGTGAAAGGAATCTACATTACAATTTAAAATTCACAACATAAATCATAAAACATGAATTAAATAAGACAACGTACTTTTTAAAAGTATTGTTTGATTTCAATAACCTGCAGCTATCAACTGCATACTGATTATACGGTCAATGCACACAATACATAAATCTTCAATAGATTTTCGATAAGTTCCGTGAGATGTACGCAATAAAATTTAATTTTATTAACGAGATAATCTCAGCACCTTTACAAAGACCATATTAACAACCTGTCATGTACACTATTACTGTATTAGAATTAACAACATTTACCTACTTTCATCCTCCTTAAAGTAAAACAAAAATTACCATATATATACTTATTCCTTATTTATATATAAAGTTCAATGAATACCTCTTTAAATGTAAAGTTGATATAAACTTGAAATGCGCCCCTTTAAACCATACTAACCCTTGAAAATATAAATATACAATGGACATTTTATGAAAAACTCTACAAACGTAAAATTGATATATTAAGTGAATTGTGTCCCTTTAAATAGAACTAATAAGTTTCTTG